TAAGAGACTGGAATCTGCAGCTCCCCTTTGCAGGTGGAGGGTATCTCAAGCAGGTTTCTCTCTCTCTCTCGCAGCCAGCCTCTTTGTCTTCTGGGAAGGGGTGTCTTCGGACCAAGCAGCCCCATTTTGTGAGAGCACCTCCAACTCTCCACAAATGTCTAAATGTGTCCAGTGGCCAAAGATATTTCAGATCTGCCTGGCATTTCCTCTACTTGAAACAAGTCCAGGCAGCTAAGTCTAATTTAAAGAAGGTTTATCTGTGTATTAAGTGTATATCCCACCTTTCATTCAGAGGCTCAAGCAGTACACATACGTAGCACTCCCTCGATCTATTTTTTCCCACAGCAACAGCCTGTGAGGTAGGGGGGCTGAGAGAGCACAATGCCCCCCAACTTGCCCAGGGAGCTCCCATGACTGAGGGGGCACTTGAAATTGGGTCTCTCCAGTCCAACAGCTTCACCACTAGACTAGACTGGTCTCTCTCCCCAGATAGAAGAACATCCAGGTGATAGAGTGCCAGGGGCTGGGTTCATACAACACCCTTAACCTGATCAGAGACTCAGTACTGGCACTCCTACAATTTCTTAAGCTTGATTACTCTCTTGTGGTTAAATGAACTATGCTTGCTTAGGTTATGATTCAATGTCATTTTCTGGCTTCATTCAGTGACCAAGTTAAGCATCTTGTCCGAACTCAGTTCCTAAACGGGGGTGGGGGGGGATGCAATGTCATTTATATGTTTATGTGTTCATAAAGTTTAGGGCAGTCCTGGACTGAATTGCCCAGCCTTAAGGAGAACCTTGCATAGCAGGTGATTTGGGGCCTCTTGTTCTCTCCATGTGAAAGCCTTGTGAAGTGCATGAATGAAGCATCAGTGATCATTGTCCCACTTGACAGAAGAAGACACAAAAAAATAACAAATCTAGAAATGCAGAAAGCTTATTGCATAATAATACCAACAAGCCATCTCATCAAAATCCATGTAGGTCAAATGGCTTGGTTTCACAGTAAATCGTATAACTTCAAAAAAATGAAATGAGTCATGACATGGAGGATATCTGAGTTGCTCTTGGACTGAGTTCAGGCATTAGCCAAGCTGTGATGGACTTCATTGCCCTTACAGCTTAGGGCCACGTGTGAACTGGCCTATTTGCTGAAATGGAGATGAATTAAGGATGTGAATCCACTTAAAATTCTCTCCCTCAGTGTATCTTGGGGGAGATTTCCAGGTGGGGGGGAGATCCCCAAAAACTCAAGATGGCAGCTGCAATTTGTGTTCAAAGTCCCAAAGTGGTTGTGGTTGCCACCCTGACACTCTTGACGCCCCTGCCCATAGATGCCCCTGACTGGAGCTGGGACATCCGACACCCTTAAAAGAGGGCCCTTGAACCAATTCAGGCAGTCCCACAAGGGAAGGGGAAAAAAGCAGCATCTGCTGAAATTCTCTCTCTGGGCAACAGCTGCATTGGCTGGCATCTGGCCATAACTGAGGTGGATCTGCAAAACACCCAAGGCTGTCCCACTCTCCCAAAAGCTGATTCATGCTGATAAATCTTGATTATCACCAGTTTGTTTTGCTCCTCTAATCTCATCCCTTTGTTAAAGAAATCTCCCACTAGTGCCAAACATTGATAATTCATTCTGAATCACTCAGATATTGAGAGGGAAAAGGAGGAGAAAGAAGAGGAGGAGGATCAAGAAGAAACGGAAGGCCTTCTATTTATATCAATAACTAGTGTGCTGTCCACCGTGAACTGGACACAAAGAGGATGTGGAGCTGGCCTCTGCTCGTTTCTTTAACACGTCACCTTAATTTGCAGAAATCACCTGGTGAAACCTTTGCTAAGCAGCAGTTCAGTCTGTCCATTTAGCTGAGTGAAATACTTTTTTTCTTCTGAGTAGCGCAACAATTTGTTCAACTGATAGTTCAGAGATTGGTTACTGGTCTCTCTAGCATCTTCTTGGCCAGTGGTCTATAGATACCCGGGACAAAACACAAGGCACCCACGGGTTGATTCACCATATCACTCTTTCTCAACCTCAGCAACTTTAAGATGTGTGGGCTTCAACTGGCTGGGGAATTCTGGGAGTTGAAGTCCTCACACCTTGAAGTCCCTGAGGTTGAGAAACACCGCACCATGTGAATGAGCTTTTCCAAAATCCAAGTCCCTTCCCCAGTCTGAAGAACTCCCAGGTTGCATTCCCATGACACCTACCAAGGGTTAACCATTGCTGACTCAATTCACCCTAATTTCTCAGTCCAGAGCTCTAGCCATGTAGGCTGTGCTGACACAGCCCATTAGGCTGAGGTTCAGAAAGACAGCTTTCATCGTGGAAAAACATCTCATTTCTAAGAAGACAACACTGTTGGCATTCTTTTCATTCCTGCTTACAGCAACAGAACTGAAACGATGCTCCAAAATAGGTGGCTCTTAACTTTCAGAATGATTAATTTGGGTTTAATTTGCTAATTAAGAAAGCTCATTGTTAAAATATCACAACTGTATCAAGATAGGGTTGTAATTTTACCCTTAACCTGTCTCAAAATACATGTTGGCTTATGGGTCCTATCCCACTTTCACCCATCAACTGTGTAATCAGAAACCAAACAGAGTTTTCATGTCTGCTGTTTTTCTGCAATAAATGTGATCTCCATGCACATGAGATGGGAGATGAGAGGCCAGGAAGGGTGGTGCCTTCTGGTGCTCTTGGCTGAATTAAAGTGTTCCATCATGGTATTTGTGATGCAATGTGGGAACAGTGCAGCACACAGAAACGAAGGATGGCCCATTGGCTAAGTTTTGTCAAAATCCACAAGAAGGGTTTGGTTCGATGTTCCTGAATCACAGCATTTTGTGCAACCTCAGAAGTTCACCCATTGCTGAGGCACCTTCCTTTTCAATGGTTTTGGGGGACAAGAAGATTTCATTTATTCTGCAAATTAAACCACCTTCAGTCTAGGTAAATCATAATGAGTGCATTGTTGGAAGACCTGAAAGACTGGGTTAGGGACAGATCGTCATGGAGAAAATCTATCCATGTGGTTGCTAAGAGTTGGCAATGACTTGATGGTACATCATCAATATTGTGTGAACTCAGTCCCCTGGGGTTTTCTGAATAAACCATGGTTAAACAATGGCTTAATGTGAACAAGGCCACTAAGTAAACTCTTCTATTTACTTAAGTGAGGTGGTGATATTAGAAATGGTGAACAAAATAGACAACAAGACTGAAGATTGATAATACAGATGTAATTGTTCTTAAAGAAATACCTATTAGAATGTTGTGTAAGAGAAAAGAGTATTCTTTTTTTATTGATAGATTAAAATATAAAAAGATTCCATTTCGATGGGATAAATTGGAAGGTGTGACTTTTACTTTTAAACAGCAGAGGTTTCGATTTAATTCCAGAAGCTGAGGAATTTAAAGAGGAATTGGAAGAGTTTCAAATGGAGATCTCAGATGAAACTATACAAAACATTCAGCAGGTGCAACAGGAAACTGACAGGTATGATACTGAACCAGGTGCTACAGGTATCGATTTTTCTAAATTTTTGACTTGATTATGGATTACAAATATGAAATATGGAATATGAATGGAGCAAATGCTTCTCAAAAGAGAAAAAAATCATTATTTGACAAAAATTAAAATAAGATATAATTTGCCTACAAGACACACACATTAGAAAAAAGGGCATAAAATATTTATGTTTTATAACAATTTGGGTGAAGAATTTATTTCAGCAGGAACTAAAAAAATGGAGTTGTTTTGTATATGAATCCCCACCTAAAACAGAACTTGTATTGACTGATGAGCGTGGTAGTTTTGTTGGGGTGGAAGTTAATTTGCATGGGATTAAGATTCTGATATTGGGAATTTATGCCCCAAATGAGGATAAAGCACTGTTCTATAAAGGACTTATGGAGAGACTAATGGGTTTCTCTTATGAAAATTGGTGTTCAATGGGGAATTGGAATGGAGGTCTCCCACAATGGTAAGAACTTCTGAGAAAAATATTAAAATCATTCAAGGCAAATTACCAAAAGTTTTCTTTGATTGGATGGACAATTTAGGGCTGGTTGATATATGGAGACAGAAAAATGACAGTCCAAGAAAGTACACCTCCTTTTCTGAAAGGCATAGATCTTTTTCAGGAATAGACATATTGGATTTTGAAGAATTTGGTTACGAAGGTTTCTACAGTACAGATACTACCAAAGACTTTGTCGGATCATAATCCTGTGAGTTTGGCTATAAAAGGAAATCCAGTTCTTTGACTAAATGAAATGTTGTTACAGAAAGAAGCAATAGTGGAGGACTGTAAAAAGAAATAAAAAGAATCTTTTGAAAATAATTTAAACAAAGGTACTACTGAGTTAAGAGTGGTTTGGGACGCAAGCAAAGCTTTCTTTTATCAGAGGCTATTTCATACAACGTAATAGTGAACTTAAAAAGAAGAGGCAAGAGACAACACAAGCTATTTTGGATGACATAAAAAGAAAGGAAGAAGCATTAAAGGAACTTCCAGAGAAGAGAAGCAGTTCTCAACAAATTAAGCGTTTACAACGGCAGTCGTCCGCGTTAGCCGTAAGAGAAACGGAAATAAAAATGATCCCTGCAAAGCAGGAAAAAAAGCGCCC